TGCAAAATGTCAAAATGTTTATTACAGCATTAAAAAAAATGGTACTCAGATTCAACTGATTTTGATAAACAAAGTTTACATATACGATTTTTTCTTTCAATGCCAGTATATGCAAGTATATCTACCTACTTCAATTTCGAGATTATGTGGTGATATTCTAAATATAGTATATAGCTCTCTATGCTTACTATTAGTTAAAATGTCTAAATATTTTTCATAGCAAAAATCAACTTTAAATTGTTTAAAGTATTCAAATTTAGCTACATTATGAATCTCAATTTTCCAGTTTTGGATAAACTGATCTCGTATTCTTTTTTTCAAAATACAAAAATAGTTACAGGAAGAGTCCAAATTTAACCATATATCACTGAAACCCAGAATATCAAGTAACGTTTTAATTTTATTTAACCAAGAATTTGCGTTCTGGGAATTACATTGCTCTCTAAAAAGTGTATACATAGGCATGTGTTGATTACTCATTATTTTTATCAAGTATTTCAATGCCCTCTCTTTCATTAAAACTGATAAAGGGAAACGACCCAATTCACCTAAAACTGCTAAATTTGAAGATTGTGTTCGAACCCCAAGAATATGTTTACAAAATTTTATGTGAAGTTTATCTATTTCCTTAAATTCATAAATGCCCCAAATCTCCGAGGCGTACAATAAAATAGGTAGAACCATAGAGTCAAATGAAAATTAAATGATAAGCCGCAAGATAACTATATTCGAATACTTTTGTTTTAAAATCTCATTTTAACGGGCATTGTTTACGAAGGGTAACCTGTTCATTAAAAGCGGTTTTATCAGCAACAAAGTTTTTGAAATGTTGTTTTGCTTTATTTCAGACCCAATATTTGACAAAGATATGGAAATCAAATTTGGGTACAAAAAGTATTAAACGAAGTTTTCTATGAATGCCGCGCTGTTCATGAGAAAATTGGACAGAACAAAGCCTATCAATAAATCCAATTATGAGTTCTGTCCAAGCTGTTATAGAAAAGGCCACTTATCGTTAACCTTGCCTCCAAAGTCCAATTCATTCTGTTATTGGAAAACAAAATTTCATGGCCTTGGTAGATGATCCAACAATATAAGATATTATCAAACACAAAAAATACACTATGAATTATGTGATCAAATTGTTGATAAAAATCGTCATACTTTTGTAACAGGTATATGAAAAGTAGCCCATGTCATCCCATGCTTTACAAAGGACTGATAATGCGTTTTAGTGAGTCACAAAATGAACAGAAGGGTGTACAAGGCAGGAATTATATATGCAACTGTTTGACAAAGAATAAAACATTCCAAGGTGCATCATACACTAACTAATGAGCATTCGCATGGACATAATGATGAAGAAATTCATCTGTGTGTTGAATGGTTTGTTTTTACTATTTTATTTTTTAAGGGGGGAGAGAGGAATGTTTTTATCCATATCAAATATATACAGACATGTTTTTCTTCCGCTTAAGCGAGATTTACAACACGGACGTCATGCTTATTCAATATAAAGGAAAGAATTTTTTTTTAATTTCGACTTGATTACATTTTTAATCAAATTTGCTCCACTTAACTTCCACTATTCTAGGCATATTCTTAGCAATTCCAGCAAATTACACCACATTTAATTACGCAGCCATGACTGTTTGAAACGCGATCTTCTTACTGGAAAATTCCTGGGGATTATATTTTTGTGTTTTATGTCATTGAACCAATATACAGCTCAGCTTTAAAAGCGGTTAAATTTCTTCCTTGTAAAGTTCTATAAAAGGAATTCGTACTTTGACCTTACTTATTGTCGTAAGTTTGTAACCATCGTGATAGCTTTGTTTTGGAATATTGAGGGAAATAAAAATGAGAAAAGAATGTGAAACCAGTGCAAACATGTATATGTATTTTCTATAGCACCTCGATGTTTTGTTTATGAAATAAGACCAATTAAGAGAGACATTTTTCTTACACATGACGATGGTTTTATTTGTCATAGAATGTAATTACCATAATTATGTGTAAAACGTTATTACCCTAAGGCAAAGAAGTCTTTTAAAAACATTATTGATAATATTGTATATTTGTACAGTCGACAAAGTTCCGACACAACCAAGCCGCACCAGGAAGATATCCAGTAGCTAGGGCATCAAAGCTAAAACGGGAGAAGGCAACAGGGCTGTGAAATGTGAAAGTGATGTATCAATATTTGTTACAATTAACCATCATAATAAAAAAAATAAAGGAAATACCAAAATCATAATCAACAGGCCTGATACGGTGATTTGATTGACAAGGAGGTGATGCAGATTTGGGAAGGGCTATATAAACCTAGCTTGTTGGTTATATAATCTGTCCAAGTATGTTTAACAAATGTTGTAGTCTAAATGATTTTAACCACTCAATTTAATCATATGCTTAACATTTCGATTAGATTTCTTGGTTGCGTTTTGCTAAGTGTTAAAGTGGAAGTTACATTGAACGTTCCATATAAATGTTGCCTTGAATAATTCCATTTTCAACACCTATTGTGCATGTTTCTGTTTCAAATATAAACAATTTACATAATAGACAATCTTGCACCATCATGTCTAGATGTTCTGAAAGTAATTATTGTATTACTTCCTGAACAAAACAAAGCAGAAAATCATTTAACATTTCATATCTTTACTCTTATTCTTATAGTGGTGTGAATGTCTAATTATGACAGATGGATACTTCGATGGTATAACTGAAAGTGCATTGCGTCCAAAGAGCTATATTATAAAGGATCTGGAGAAAATGTTTCGGATCTGTTTTAAATTGAAGCTTACATTCTGATAACGATTGAAGAAAACGGCAGCTCTACAATTATGATTTTATATCGGTTTGTTTTGTTTTCTTTATTCGTTATATGGGAGCATTGAAATGATTCATTTGGCAATATGTTTTTGAAACAAACGTTTAGATGAAACTAATCTAAATATGATACGGAAGTTCCAAGCCTTCTGGGTGCCCTACTTTGGTGTGTCGGGGGTGCGTCCTGTGAACGTTGCCTTTGCCTTGTTGATCTTTGTTGTCTTTTTGACATATCGAATGACAGGAACATCAGGTATCGTGTGTTTAATTTGTCATTCATTAATTCAATGTGTTAATTTTTATCATTTAAAATTACTGAATTAATAGTGTTTTTTTTAAAGTTTCCTCTATACCAAATATTTATACTAAATTAACAAGCAAGTTAATTATATTTGATTCTTATGAGAGACAAAAACCAAGTTTGCAAGAATTTTATTTCACCACATTTAAAAGCTAATGCATTATTATACGAAATTCACAAGCATATGTGTTATACAATATTCAGAAGCAACTGTAATATACTTAATTCATAAGCGAGTGTATTTAATCAAGTTCACAAAAGAATGTATTACATCAAATTCACAAACAAAAAATATACCAAAATTAACAAGTGAGTGTAGTATTTCGAGTTAACAAAGAAAAATGTTATAAATTAATTTAAACAAACTTCACTATTGGATTCATGACATCAACATCACATGCGAATATATTGCGCAAAATTAACAAACAATTTGTATACCAAATCTAAATGAACACGTAAATGTTTCAAACGAACACTACCAAATTCATACACAAATGTATCAAAGGGTGCATATACGCTCTTGTAAAGTTGAATGAATATAATGTACACTATAAACCTGCTATAATTTTTGTGTGTTTTTAATAATGAATGCAATTATTTACTTATTCGTGTATTCGTTTGTCGTATCCTTTAATCTATATACGAATAACCGGTCATATCAATCTGTTTAAATATATATTCCTTTGATCACGTTAAAGATTTAACAACTTAATGTTAAAATCTTAAATTAAATATCAAATAAAACCGCAGATAATTTTTGCCCCGGGTGGTGGTAGTAAAAATTGTATTGAACTTTTTCAAAAACATTTACCATATCGAACGTAATGTAAATTAATAATTAATTATTATAAATGTAATATATCTGAACATATAAGGGCATTCACCGTGAGTTTTATTACTTTTCATTGATTGAATTCAAACATATGTATTTTTATTTTAGCTTGTCACGATTTCGCTTTTTACAGCTTTCAGTGAAATAATGCGGAAAAAAAATTGTTTAACCAAAAGATTTTACATGTGATTTGAAGATTACAATTTTACTTAAAGCTTTACACTTATTTACATTATTGTTTCTTATATGAGATACCTTAAGTATTCTTTTTCAAGTGTACACTATTATTCAACTGTTAACGGCTGTTCATTTCAAAAGCGATAACGTGTTTTTTTTGTGTTTTTTTTCCCAAATATGAATATTACGTCTTTAAAAAAGTCTTGACAAGTGCTATTGGACTTTCATCATTTTTCAATACTATAGGATATACGTAAATAACTATGGTGTATGAGGTGTTAAAATAACTGATTAAATCTTTTTCATATTGACGATCCGTATAATTTAATGTGTACGATATATGAGTTACGTATTCTACATCGGTATTAAAATCGAATAAAAATGGTTCTGTGTACGCATGTACCAGGATCGAAAATATTGCCATGTTAATCAGTTTTGCACGATAGTCACGGGTTTTACTTCTACGTCGTACATGATAATTAGAGAGCAAGCAAAGAATATTCACTGTGAGTTCATGCAATCGTCATATAAAACGTGTAAAGACCTTTGCCTCCCTATGTTTCAATTATTTTTAACTTTCAAAAGATACAAAAAATTAAATGAATAACCAGTTGCAACAAACACAATTCGTCGGTTAAAAATACCCCCAAAAGATAACAAAAAGAAGAATCGTATCAAATAAACAATTTGTGAATCTTAAAACTATACAAGGAAATTTTAATGTGTAATTAACGAATCTAAGGCATATGAGTAACAAGACCACTTCGAAATCTAACGAGCACAATTGATATTTTACGGCTTGAAGTGTGTCTTAATCAAAGCAACTAAATTATTCCAAAATCGTTCCGGGTATTTTACCTTCATTCTGCATGTTCTGTTGATCAAATGACGTTGGTTTTTCACCTAGACTTATCGATGAAATGTCATAAAATACTTCGTCCACATCATTCCTTGCGGCGGCTTTGTCATCTATTGCTTCCCGGTTAACTTCATTTGAATCTTTACTTAGTTCCGCAGATTCTTTATTGGTGTTCACAATATCGTCATTTATTACTTGTTTGCTTTCTTCCACTATTTCTTCATCATTGCTTTTATCGGTTTTATCAGATTTTGTATCATCAGTCATTCGTATCAATTCTTTCTTCGTACGCTCATTTAGTTCGCCATCACTCAGAGAATCTTGGTCGCTAGATTCTTGACCGTGTTTTGCATCTCCCGACTCTCCCTGGATATTCTGCCGGTACCGATTTTGGCAAAAGATCTTGCTTCTAACTCTTATTGCTTTAACATTATCAAGATGTGACCTGCTACGTCTTAACAGTCTTGCTTCAAAAATTTCAAGCTTCTCATCAGTCCGACTTCGCCTTCGACCAACGTTCAACACGCTACTATACATAGCCATTTCAGATATAATCACACAGATACGTCTTCTTTTTCTGATATGTTTCTAAATTTCTTGGACTCCAAACAAGAATATCTCAATGATAATATTCACAGGTCATTATATGACTCTAAACACTTGTTTAAACAGTTTGTATCAATTTCAAAATGGATAAGTGATGAATTTCAATTGAATTTATTTCTCAATAGTCTATTTTTTCCGATCTTTTTCGCTTTTACATATTATTATGTTTATATGGCAAAATGTTTTATTACCTAGCAAAATCTCCGACTATTGTAGATAAATGACAAACCAAGGTGCACGAAATGCTCATTTATAAGTTAGCTAGTCCTCAATATTGTTTCACACTATTTTACAAACTATATACATATGAATATACTTTGTTTTGTATAACAGTTATTTTGTTATAACACAAGATTAAGTTCCTCGTACTCTTACAAATTTATAACACTATTTCCATGTGTAAACAGTTTTTACCTAATTATTTACGCATTTTACTAATCTTTCAATCGTATCTAAATAATTATCAATCCAACCATTAAACGTTTACTAAAATTAAACGTTCATATGATAATGAAAATAACAAAAATAAATCTTCTTTATTACTGAACCATTCCTTTAAACTGACTTTAAACGTAATACAAAAGCTATAAACGACAGTCGCTCACATGAAATAAACTATGATGTTTACGACTGTAAACTATCTTTATATCATGTTGCGGAAGTTATTAACAGTGCAACTGAAACTACAGGTATCTATATGGATCTGCAACATGACAAAATACAGTAAATAAGCATAAATAAGGAAAGGAAATAACTTATTCACACGTGTATGGGTTTGCACGAAAGATGAATATCAAATAAATTATTGTCCATGTCATGTCAGATACCATTGTATTCTGACAATAAGAGATGTTTTCGCTTCCCTCTAAAATACAAACGTTCAATGTACTTTCAGTTCATAAATAAATCTTCAAATGTTCCTATATTTCAACACATAGGGACATTAAAGCAAAACTTTACTTATTTTGATAATTCTACAATTAAAAGAAAACTGTAAAGAGTCGTATAAAATTGTATTTTTTATAAAAAAAATAAAAGAAATATTTTTAAATGTGGACAAAAGAAGCTGGTAATATAAGAGGAATTCAGATGTATGAAGTTGGGCCGCTTTGCCGCCAGGCCGCCAACTTCACACATCTGATGAATTCCTTATAGCAATAAAAGTTACGATCGGATATGAAGAGAAAAAAAAATGAAAGTGTTCGGTTGCAAGTTTGGTTGTGTATACATGTACAAACAACCGTAAACCACCCTTGCCTCCGGTCCCTCACCCCATCCCCATCCAACATTGAAACCAAGTCAGTGTCAGTCTCAGTTTCATGTAATGTATAAATGCATAATATATTTTTCAAAGAAGTTTATTGCTTTGTATTGAGCTTTTCCTTATATAAAATATACAAATACCTTTTAGTCTACCATCATACGCATGCTCACCAACGGCGGTGTCTGATTCAAAAACGTCATCTATTTCCGGTACGTCATCAAGCACGTCAACATATTTAACGTCACGTGCTGTAATTCTCCAATTGCACTTTTGCACACAGTTTTGACTTTTAAGAAGTTGAACAGTATCGCCTTTCTTTTCATATTTAACAGTGTTAAATCGAAAACCTTTTTTCACACAATGCCATTTCTTACAAATATGACATTTCACTATAAAATTATCATTCAACGCACTTTTGTGGCAGTCTGGGATATCTGACGTTTCAGAAATTTTCTGAAAGTATGCAGCATTTTCACGTTTTGCAAACTTCCGTCTTCTAAATCTATCTTGACGATGATCAATGTCCAAAGGAGCACTGTAGCTGCCCCACTTCATAAACATTTTCAAAATTGCATTTGTAGAATTATATTATGTTATTATGTGAATAAGCAATACTAAAACAAATGAACTGGTCACAAAAACCAAAGTACATCCATAATCAATTTGACACTTTCAGTGTTATTTCACTAACTTGTTTTCTCTAGTAAATGAATCCATATAAACAGCCTTGTTTATACAGGTTGTATTATATACAAACCTACCTCCATGACTATCACACAGCAATTATCTTATAATGGTTCATATAAATCCAATATTTTCTTGATTAATTGATTGATCTGGTGTGTACTTTGAGTGTTCCGCAGCTAATGAGTTCTTAATTAGTCCTTTCGACGCTTGTTATTAAGAATTTTGGCGCTTAATGTCATTCTCAACAACACGTGGTAGTCATCTACAACATTGAGTGTACGTATAATCACCTTTCCGTAAAAATGTGATTTAAATGATAACCATTAAACAGAACAAGCATAGCAATGTTTTTGTACTCCCGCAAAAATGTTGTTTGTTACAACTACAAAAATATTGACATACAGAGGTATAAGGTTTACAGATTCATTTTATACAAAAATATACAATGAACTTAGGTTTAAATCGAAACATTTCAGCCATTTGCTGATTGTATCTTGCATACTGCACAGATTGTTGTATTGTCACACTAGCAATTAGATAAGCTATGTTATGTCTTAATTTCATTTAAACGGCTTCCTCTTAAAAGGAATGTGTATTACATAACGGATATATTTTCCTTTATTGCCACAAATAACAATAAAAAGAAAATCTGATATTTTTACTAATCCCTTGACAATAATAGACTAGCTCGAGAATTACATGTGTCATGCAAGTTTTTTTTCTGAAACAAGGTTAACAAAAAATGAATACACTTGACGAAAATTGCAAATTTTCTTCTTATTTTTTTCAATTAAAAACAAGGTGGTCTGTTATTGTAGCGATCATATTATTCCAGCATGAAAGATTGAATATGATCATAATTTATAAATGGATTCACCTGCTGAGGTTTGAGGTTCATTAACCTGCCAATCAAAATAAATATGTTCATACAATATTTTTCCCATATGTACTCTATAGTAATCATATCGTCCTTATATTTAGGAAGATCGCAAGCACTATTTTGTTAAACGCTAAAGAAATTTAGATAAAACTTTTATTTTATATGATTCGCTCTTAAAAAATTAACACAAATACAAAACTTATTTTACATTCATAAAAGCATTGGCCATTTGATATTTTTAGAACTAAAAGACATAAAAAACAGAATTACGAGTGCATTTTGCCTTAAAAGTTACGTTAACACATATTTGAATTATCAAATGTTTAACTGGCGCATTTTGCTTAAGCCGATGCATGGGGGCGGGGGTAAACGAAGATGTACGCATTCATAGCATAGTCCTGAAATTGCCTCATAAAAGCCAAGCCTACAACTATGTCTGCGGTTTCTCAGATGTAGTGCAACTTAAATAATTGCAGATATCCTTATTATTGCAAATATTCTTAGTACTTTTCTTCATTGCAGAATATTTGCTCCTGTAATTGAGCTTGGCATCTCATGTCTTATACATTCAATACAGAGTATTTCATTATCTCGGACAAAATCAAATAGCCTTATACTCGGAACATTGTTATTCTGAAGATACTTTAGACCACGTCTAATCATTTATGTAAAACACTTATTTCTTTAAATCAATTAATAGTCTCTCATTCATTCAATTAATTGATGCACATGTAAAACGAAAATGGCAGCTCGTTCTTAATTCGCTAAAACGTTTGCTTCATTGTTCTCTTCCACAGAAAATCAATGGCAGACAAAACAATAGTTATATAAACGGCCTCTTTGTACGGATTTTCACAATTTGGTTTATTCTATGGTATTATATAAGTGTCAGACAAATGTAGTTAAGCCGTATTAGAAGCAACTAAATTGTGTTCAATTAATGAATTTCTAATAGAATTCGGTATTTACAGACTCCATCTACTACCAGTTTGACAGTTAATGTGTCTGTGATGCCAATGAATTGCAGACAGGGTTTTATATCATTGTATTGTAACACAGGCAAAGAAAGTGGTTCAAACTAAGATTGCGACAAGAATTCAAATTAACAAATTGCGATTTCCATACAAAGACACTTTTGTAATCGTTATCATTTTCTTTACTATCTTCGGAACTCTGTATATGTCTTGTAAGAAATTCCCTGGCGGGTAATTAGTGATCGACCTAAACAAAGGAACTTACGGACGCCGTGCCCTCATTGACTTTACATAAAAGAAAGAAGCAATACAATGCGGGATATCAATAAACAGCAATAAACACTTTGGAAATACCATTACCATTTGTTCTTAGTACAAGAACAACATACAAGGGAAAATAATTGGAAATAACCATATTCTTCAAATGTTTAGATATGTTTATTTGCATAAACGATTTTAACGAGTAAAAGTGGTACGGTACATACAAATATCAATTTATCAATATATCCATTTACTTTCATAAGATCTCCATGACACTGATGAGCGAATATGATAAAGTTGTTATTACAAAATTTCCAAAATACATGTATTTTATAATTAGTTTAATGTTCAGTCATTTCGACAGGATGAAAAGAGATATTTTTGTTCAATAGCAAGTAAAGATTGGATGTTTGCATCAATACATTTTTTAAATCTTTACTGAATTATCACATAATGACCTTTTCAAGATTGTAGATATTCAGCACGTACCGTGCATTAAAAAAATCAAATATTACACAAAAAAAATCACAATTCAATATCAAACTTCTGTTTCATTCACATATGTTCGGCAACACATAAACTTTCGGATAACAATCTAATTTCCTACACATGTAAGAAAAAAGCCTTATCAATAATCCGACTAGTTTCTACTTAACTTTTCCTTAAATTGCTGCTTGGCTATAATTTCTATCGATCCTAACAGAGATTAGTTATTAACAAACAAGTTTGTTAATGTATCCATGCTTTTTTAAAGTGTCCGGATATAAATCGAAATGTACTAATATGTTGAACAATCCTTAAAGCAGTATAAATATATTTATTTGACCAGTCCATCTTTGATTATATATTTGATGTTGCAATCTAAGGAGGAACACAAAATTCACAAAAAACTGTTTAATTTCAACTAGAGAATCATTTAAAAGATCATTTAAAGGAAAATTCCTTGAGAACAGTGCAGAGAAATTAAAATAGAAGAAAATCGTACGCTCTGTTTTGTTAGGTCTACTCAAACCAGATAATTATAAGTCCAAACTCTCTCACGCTCCCTAGCACCGTTTATTTTATACCAACGTTAATTTAATTAAATTGTTAAAGAATGCTTTATCTTTAACACACTACGCAATAAATGATTTTTGACCAATGAACCCACGGCTTGCCTCTAACGGGGTATGAACCCAAGAGGCCAGCAATTCTTCGATTTGTAGTCTGAAACGTTAATTAGTCGACCCGGCAACGTCGCAAATACTGGTGACGATATGTGTGTATTTGTCTGTGCGCGCGTGTATGCGTGTGCGTATTTAATTGACAAATTTAAACAAATATTTAACACCACAGAGTTGAAGCTAACTATAAAAATTTGCCTCACAGAAAATTTACATTACGTGTTGTTGTTGTTGTTGTTGTTGTTGTTTTTGTTTTACCACGCAAAGACTGTTTTTTTAATGAACGGAACCTGTAGGAAACCAGTCCAGCTGGATAGACTTTAGCTAATCAACTTTATTAAGTGAAATAATTTGTTGGGCTGAGTAGTCCATTAACTTATTAGACAAATATTTGTATTGTTCTGGTATTA